CAAATCTCTTAAAATCTTCGCTATAGCCTTATAGCGAAGTTGAGGTCTAGGACATAGAGTTCGTTATAACAAGAGTTAACTGTATAGATAAACTTTTTGCTTATATTATAAATTAACTTTTTTGCAGATTTGTAAATTCTTTTGCGAATACAAGTTTCAATATTAATAAAGGAATTATTCAAAATTTATATCTTTTTACCTCTTCGTGTCTTTATATAGTTTAATGTGATCTCTACAAATTATTTGTAATTGAGTTCATCATCTGAGTTCTTTAATTAAATTATTTATAATCTCATTTTTCAAGTCTTCATATTTAATAGATTTATTTAAGTTTAACGCATAGATTTGGTAAAGTTAAGAGTTAGGTTAATCTTAACATCTTAATTGCAATAAGCTGCAGTTAGTAATTTTAAGTAGAAACTTAAGGACGTGATTAACCTGAGTTGAAAAATTCTATGATAACAATGTTATGATATTAAAAATATCTAAATTTGTGACCAAAAAATGCTAAAAAGAATTTTTCTTCATATTAACAAAGATTTTGAAGGTAAAATTTTATTAAATGAATTAAAATTATATATGATTTATTAATCTAATAATATATTTTATAAATTAAAAAAGGAAATTGGTATTTTACATAACATTTAGGTTAAGATAAACTATCTAGAATGTTAAAAGAAATTCGTAATACTACAGATGTTGACTGTACAAATAAAAAGATTGTTAATTACTCCTTACGAAAATATATTATACAAAAGTTAAATGATAAAGAATTGGATTCTCAAGCTATAATGAATATAACATTATATTGATCTTTAATAGAATAAGTATTTTAATATTTATAGATTTATATTATTATTTATTTATTTAATTATATTTTAATACATTTAGATATCATTCACTAAATGAGATATAAAAATTAGAGATAGCCAAACATATCTCAAAAGTATTTATTATATATTATTTGTATTAATTTAATATATTAAATTCTTATATATTTTCTATTTTAAATAGGAACAAAAGAAAATATAAAAAATAATTCAGAAATTAATTCTCAAGTTAATACTAATGAAAATTTAAAAATAGAATTTTCTTTTCAAGATAATTTTGATGAAAAATCTTATATAACATCAAGAAGCATACTTTCTAAATTATAAAATATTACAATTTCTTTAAAACATAAAAATGAAGGTTTAATTAATTTTTAACTCAAATTTATTAAATGTAAAAAAAATTATAATTAATATTAAATAATAATAGCATAGTATAATTATATAATTTAAATAGTTTAAATATACTGCAAAATATATCAGGAACGCATAAATAAATACATATGAAATTCAATGTCTAATAGGAATAACTATAATCAGATAATTATATAAATGATGTCAACTAGAAGATAAAATGTATAAAATAATAAAGAATCAATTATTTTATGATTAGGATAATATTTTTATGAATGTAATTTTACACAAATTATTATAAATTGTAAATTTAATAAATATCACTATAATTATATAAAAAAAAAACTGTATAACAAATTAATTTAACTTTTCATTATATTTTATTAGTCAATATCATCTTTACTATAAATCTGTTAAGTTATATTTATTTAATATAATATTATTCCTTCTCTTATTAGTACCTTTGTAATACTTTACAATATGTTAATTTCCATAACATATTGTTGTAAATTTTGAATCCACAAAGGGATATTTTCAGCTATTTTTCCATTTTCTATACAATACTTCTGTTTATTAAATTTGTGAAATATACTGCTAGAACAAAAAATATATTAGAATTCTTATTACCAATAACTTTATCATATTCTTTTAATGCAACCATCTTGATATTATGATTTAATGCTATTGTAATTTGAAATAATCCAACGGAAGGTATCAGAGAATCAAATGATGGGAAATTCTTTGCTATTGGTCTCTAATAATCATCAACAGTAAAATCAATTTCAGTTAAACTTTGAAAGGATTTCAGATTTCATTTTGTCAATTGGATTTTAGAATAAACAATATTATTATCATTAAGATTCCTAATATTAAACTCTCCTCCATTTCATAATAGATTGTGAACATATCCCTCAAACAATTGTCTACAGAATGAACTTGTAATGCTTTCTTCCTCACTAGCTAACAAAAAATAGCGGAATGAATCATGTTGTTATTGAACAAAATGAGCAACAACCTTTTCAGCAATATAGGTAGTTGCAAATTGTATTGTTGTGTGTATATAGTCAGAGGTGGTTATATGGAGAATCTGATGGCTAGTGTCTTCTTTACTATCAAGTTCACCAACATTTTGTAAGCATTTTTCCAAACTAATGCTTACTATTGCTTGTTCTAACAACAGATCCTGTGATGAATCTCCAGCTTTCTCCAATACAAATCTTGGAATACCACCTTAATAATTGTAACATTTTACCAATTCACTATCAATAATGTCAGTATAAAGTAGATTTCAACATTTTACAATTTCATTTTAACTCCAAATAGGCATGTACCTTATTGTTGACTTTAACATTTTGTGAAATTCTTTGTAATATGTTTTATTTGGAAAGCAGGTGAGGATAGTAATGGCATGGACATAAGGTGGTGGTTTTGTATTAACAAGATACCAAGTTATAGGATTATTCAAAAAAGATTCAACCATATCATCATAAAATTTTCTGAATAATAAAAAAAAAAATATAACATTAATTCATCATTTTGTCAAAATAAGAATATAAAAATTGAGGAACATACATGTATATATTTTCATCAGTAAAGATAATATATTTTTTATCAATCTGTCTGTCAAAGATCACAGTAGCATCTTTACATCGAAGGATATATAGCAAATAGAATAGAAAATAACTCTTTCCAATACCAGGGTTTCCAGTAATGGTAAAATATTAAAAGATGTCAGATTCAATAGAAGAATTAATATTATTCCATAGATAATTATATGATTGTCGAATTATGAGCTTGATTGGATAAAAAAGTAAATCCCTAAGAAAACGGACACCAGATGGAAGAGAAAGAACTTGGTCATTGCTAGATGAATCGTTTAAAGAAATCCAGAAGTTTATAAGAGTTGAGGATGCTAAGGATGTTTCAATGAGAAATAATATAAGTAAATGATCCAATTAGCAACTTTCAGATATATATATATATAAAGATAAAAGATGATGTATGTTTGCTTTATAGAAGTACCTGATTTTATCTGTTCTATATAACCTGAAACATGTGATGAAAAATAACAAATATGTATATTTTGAAGATGGAATGATAGAAATAAAGTTGATTAATAAAATATAAATTATATATGATTATAAAAACATGAATGTTAAAATATAATAAAAGTAGATTCAATACATAAATTTAATATATATAATATGCAATCAAATAAATTTGGTAAGTTACTTTCAACTTTTGTTTCATGAAAAATATTGAATAAATTAATATAATAAACAATCTTTTCAGATGAACGAATGATATTAAAATGAAAATATAGTAATCAAAATATACACTACCCTATCAAAAGTATCTGGTCAATCAATTTAAAAATTATATTTTATTATAATATTATAAATTTTTAA